TTTCAGACCATTCAGCTGCCCTGGCCACAACCCACTCCAACTAACCAGAATGATCACGTTATGCCACCTGAGTTGACCTTCAGTAGACCAAGCACTTAGTTATATAGATCAGAAATTTCGATCCCTTTCTTTCCCCATTGCATTTCATTAGACTTTTTATAAACCCTTCATGATGTAATAGCCTGAAGATGATTACTGATTGGAAGCAGCAAGTAGAGTTTGCTCTGTTTAGCTGCATCTAATGTCACTCAGGGACAAAGACCTGTTATGTTGTGTTGCGCTCAATATATTTTGCGTCGGCAAAGTGTTTGTCCAGGAACTTCTTAAATTCCGACACTGACTTTGCCTCAACTATGTGCTGTGGCAGGTCGTTCCATACATTCACCACTCTGCGTTCGAAACAGAGTTGGTGAGTGATCCGCTTCAAATCCGGTACGACAAGCTTGTACCGATGTCCTCGTGTGCTGCTTGGTGTGCGCAGATGAAGCAGTGGTCTCAACATGGGGTAATCTCCCAGATGTAATATCCGGTGCATCATGATGAGGTCAATCCGCATTCGACGATAAGCTAGGGTGTACAGCCCTAGTTCCTTACACCGGTCTCCGGACGGCACACCTCGTAAGTTGGGAATCAGTCTGGTGGCTACATGCTGTACTTGCTCAATCTTTTCTACCTCGCCCCGGGTGATAGGACAATACGCAGGATAGCCATACTCTAGCACTGGTCGTATTATTGAGACGAAGAGGCAAGTGGCAATCTCTTCGGACCAAGTGCTAAAGCTGCGCCTGAGCGCCCAAAGCATACGAAGGCTGTTTCGATAAAGCCTATTCGTGTTGTCCATGGACTTTAGGCCGTAGCGTGAGAGTACACCGAGGTTGCGCACGAAAGATGCGGGATGCAACGGTTGACCAGCCACCGTGTAGGTTCGGCTGTGCTCACACTTACCCAGCCTCATGAATTGCGACTTAACCGGGTTGATCGAAAGGTTGACCTCTGCAGACCACGTGGAGAGGCGGTCCAGGTCCTGCTGAAGCAGGTCACAATCATTGGGTGTGCGGATTACTCTTCACACCTTCAAGTCATCTACGAACAACGCACAAGCTGATTGGAGTAGCTGAGGCACATCATTTACATGGATGAGAAACATAATCGGCCCCAGTACAGTGCCTTGGGGCACGCCACTGCTCGATGGATACCAGTCGGTTAAATGGTTCTCCACCCGGACCCTACACTTTCGATCAACAAGGAAATTCCTGATCCATTAGTGCAGCGAGCCACCAACACCGCACACCCTCGACCTGTCGAAGAGCACTGCATGATTTACCTTGTCAAAAGCATTACTGAAGTCAATGTAAATGACGTCGACCGATTTGACTTGGTTCAGCGCTTGTAGCCCTTCGTGCCTCGTCAACAGTAGGTTGGTGATGCACGAGCGACCTTTTATGAAACCATGCTGTGCGGACGTCGAGAAGCTGCAGAAGACTCTTCTTCACGATCTTCTCGCGCGTCTTTGCCAAAACAGCGGTCAGGCAGATCGGCCGGTAGTTATCCACACTGCTTGGGTTACCACCTTTCGGTATTGGCTTTAAGATTGAGCATTTCCAGTCGCCCGGTAATATTCCAGTGGATAGTGACCTGTTGAACAGCTCAGTTACAGAAAGCGAGATGATGGCCGATAGGGACTTGGGAATAAGTGGGTGGATTCCATCTGGCCCAGCAGGCTTCATCCCGTCAAGATTTGCTAGAAGCTTGCGTACATCTTCAATGCTGCAGTCTAGGCTGTCTAGTTCAGCGGGAGCGGTGAGTGAATTACACCAATATTTATAGCATAAAACGACTTTAACAATGAAAAGAACGAGATAAACTGGCCTGACGAGGACACGAGCAAAATACGACTAGGACGGACGAGAATCAAGGCAGACTAGAACGACAGAATTACTGCCGAAAAAGGTTTAAAATATATTACTGGATAATTCAGAATCACAAATAATACCGAATTAAACAACTGAAGACAAAAAATTACGATATATGACACAGGAAACCTGAACAAACTGGCCTGGGAGCGGAGCGATATATTTCGAACCGGTCGCCGTGCCCTTGACCTTGGAGGATGATGATGAACCAATGAAAACGAGCTCGTTCGCTACATCTTACTTTTAAAGCTATAAAAGCTATTCCATTCAAATTCTAAGGGCTTACTCTTACAAATGATCTACACGATAAGAGCAGGAAACTGTAATAATAATAATAATAATAATAATAATAATAATAATAATAATAATAATAATAATAATGTAGCAGCTGTACCCCGTAGCGGCGCTCCGCCGCCGCGTGACTACCACCGGTCGCGCGTGGGCTGAGTATACCGCAAGCACGCCAGCCCCCACGCGAATTCGAACCGGTGACTTTATGATTGCAAGCCAGGCGTGCAGAACACCCGGAACTGGCCGGAGGAAATTGTACCGACAGACTGAGCTGCCCCCATTATTGTGCGGATCTTCAAGATGGACTCACGCTCGAAATGGGTTCAGCGTGATCTCAAATGCCCCAAAATTACTTAGCTCTGCCATTCTCTAATGACTGGCAGTCACTTAAGAAAGTTAATTCGTGAAGATCAAACCGAGTCTCGTCCAAGTCGATGGTATTTTGAACACATCTTCACTTTACGACAGTTATTGGAGCACCGCTAGATTAATTGACGACCCACCGTATGTGTGTTCTTCGGCATCAAACGTACCTTCGGTTCAGTGAACCGATGTGCCAGTTTGGATTGTCTAATCAGGAGACGTATCCCCGAAAAATACATAAACACCATCAGAACGCTTTACGCGCGTAGAATGGACAGAGTGAGGGCTTATGGCAGACCGTTGCAGCCCTTCATTATCACCGGCAGTGTGAAACAAGTTTGTCCGCAGTCACTTTCCTTTTTAACCTTCTGATTGACAAAGTCATGGAAAAAGCGTTCACTAGGCACGATCTACAAGATGTGGAGCTGCTTCTAGGTAATTGAGCTCGCGAGTTAAAGCGCGCCGAGGACATTGCGCTAATGTGTCACAGCTTCCAAAGGTTTCAAGTAGCAATGAACGGATAAGCAATGATGGTGTATAATGCTTTGCACCCTCGAAAGCAGTCTTTCACTAAATTGGCTGGGATGCACCCTATGCTCTAAGTCGACAAGAAATTCAATTGCTCAGGCAGCCATATCAGCGCCTGGAAAGCAACAGATGAGGTCACAAGGCGCATGGTCAAGGCCAGAGGCGATTTTTTTAAATGTCGGCCATCTGTGGCATCCGCGCGACATCAACCTCGCCCTAAAGGGAAGAGTGTGAAATGCAGCCATCCGTTCAACGCTCATGTGCGGTTGTGAAATCTGGCCCGTCAGATCGAGGTATTAAAGGGAGCAGTTACGTTCCATTATCGGCGCCTTCACAATTGAGCTCATGTAAAGGGGGAACACCGTATGGTTAGTAACAGTGCGGTGTCTTAGGAGTTAAAAACGACAAGTGAACTGAGCAGCATCGTTATATCACACATCAACCTCCGAGGGATGGGCCATGTGTTACGCATGCCAGCCCATCGGGTCCGCGGCCTGCGTTGTTTGCGTTCACGGAGTTTGGATGGAAGAGGAGAGGAGACCAACCAAAGACTTGGAGGCCCTTACCTTGAAATTGGCCTCAGTTGGTGGCTCCCAACTGCAGAGTTAGAGTCCAAAAGATAGTGAACACGTTTGGTTAGATACATTTATTGATATGGGGAAGAGTCTACTGCCTTTTAGCTAGAAGAGAGCAAAGTCTGGAACTCATCGGCACTCCATCATATCTCACCTTCTCGGGAGTCATCAGCAGTACGCATTTCATTTGGTCAGTGCAGGAATAGAATCTGCGAATCTATTCCAACGATCTCGTGGTTAAGACCATTGTGCCACAAGAGGACAGCAACGACCGAGATAGCAGAGTACACTACTCAATGACATGCACATTACTGTTGTGCCGACAGCATGGTAGCCCCGTAAAAGTAGCGTTGCAAGTTCTAGACCAACATGGGGCAGTTGGAATACGCCCTCCGACGATTCGCGAAAGGATAGAGTGGCCACCCGATGTTTACGTGGACATGTGATAATCATCTGACTGAGTCTAGCTGTGATGAACTCAAGTTGTATCATACAACCCACAGTCGGCCGGTGGCCGACAGGAGACGGTCTCTTCGTTGCAACCCGGATGTCACCAGTTCAAGCCTGCATAGAGTAGCGAGTGACTCTTGCAGTATCCTCAGTCCACGTGCGACTGAAGATGGTTGCGTGGCAACGAAGTGTCGATACGGCGTACCGGTGTAATGCAGATAGCTGTCTATATAACCGCTATCCTGTAGATCGATGGTAAGCAAACTGGACTTAACCGATGCGGGCAGCAACGTCGCCGGTGACATGAGTACGGGATGTAATACTCAGATCAGTTCATCGATGAACTAGTGCAATTTGCTACCGAAGTGATCGTGAGAACATGGGCTACAGTACTACATGTACTTTGAAGACACAGAGGCGCATACTGAAGCGCGCAGCACTTTGTGTTAACCTGGTAAGCAGCGGTTTCATGGTAGATGAGTGGACCCGAAAAGAACGGCTCAGTCCGTGGGCAACCATATCATAATTAATAGGCGGAACAAGTACAATAGATGTAGTGGAGTAATTGATGGTTATTTTAAAACATAGTCGGAGATTAAGTGGGAATAGGATGGCGTCATGTAAATAAATGTATAGAGAAGTTAGGTTTGTTGGCCACCAGTGCATACGATTTAGGTTTCGCAAAGTATGCGCGGTTGCTTAGCCGGTGTCATCACAGTAAGCAAAAACAGCAGTATAGCAGCAATCAGCAACCTGAGTATTAACGAGTATTTGGCTTGTTGTTGCGGATGCGCTGCTGTTACGTGACATCAGTAAAGACTGCAAAGGAAAAGAAGATCAAAAAAATGTAAGGTTCACGAGACCCTCAGACCGAAGGCCTTCAAGGCCAATGAGGATCTGCATCTGGTACCATAGAAATCGTAGGGCAATACATACAGCCGTGGCCATCGCAACACGTGAAGCAAGTCCAGTAGTTGCTCGTAGGCTGCTCGGACGGTCTCCAGTAAGTCACTGCCAAGATAAATATTGCGAGCTAGTGGTTAGTGGCCTCGCAGCAGTGTATTTCACTTAAATGGTTTAAAGCGTACGCAATAAGACGGGAGTATTAGGTAGCTTGTTGAGGGTTGCCTGTGCCGATTCGCAAATGGTTTCCTGAAAGGTGAACCCGATGGACAAACCAACAGAACTGGAAGCGAGGTAGCTATTTACTCAACAGATCAATTGTCTTACCTTTTGAAAGACATCAACAAGCGCCTCATTCGGTATTTACAATATCACAAAAATGCGCTACTTATAGGTTCTTGTTAGCTACAAAACAACTTGGGTCAACGAATGTTAAGCGTTGCCTGATAGCAACAGTACGATTCAGAATGATCGTCACTCACAATCAAAATAGTAAAAAAATTGTAAGCGAAAAAATAGGCGAATCCGAATCAAAAATACGTTTCTATCGGCTTACCAGCGAGAGCATAAATTCCGGTGGTAGAATCCTGCTGTCCGGGTGAGTGAAATTCCCCGCCCATTGTGTGCGTTTTTCCTGAGCCTGTTTGGCCGTAAGCAAAGCAAGTGGCCATTCCACGTTCGAAAATCGACTCGACCAATGGCTGCGCGGTGTACCGGTATACCTAGATCATAAAAGAAAGGTAATAAAATGCAAACTGAATGCAACGCGCCACAGAGGGCTGTTAGCAAAAGGTGAGTGCTGAGTGCTAAGTTTTGTGCGTAAACGTAAAAGACGAAATCAAAAGTTCGGATGAAACGATGGTACAACGAAAAACGAGTAAAGCACAACGAATTTGAGTAACACTGAACAGGATAGCTGTACCAACGCTATGTACAGTATGATCAGTCCGGCATACGAATCCGCAAGGCTAGTAGCTGTACTCAGAATAAGGTTGACAGCAGTCAAAAAAGGTTCAACGTAATCGAGAAAGTGATACAGTACGATATCAAGCAGTGACCACAGCAACTGCACTAGTGGAGGGAAAGAACTGGAAGCTTATTAAGAGCTGCTATCAGAAACAATATATATATATATATATATATATATATATATATATATATATATATATATATATATATGGTTGGCGGCACCCGGTTTCGGATTTGCCTGCCACTGCGGCCAGCCACAGGACGCCTGCGCCTACAGAGGGACCATGGGTGGCTTGCGCTGCACCACCCACACACCCCATATCCAGTGTAAACCCGAAGGAATAAGACCGGGAGACATGTGGATGGGAGCCACGTTTCATCAACGGAGCCGACCCACACTCCTTCACAGGCAAACACATGCACTCTGTATTTGGGGAATCAAGCGCACACAATGCGGTGGCTGTACCGTTGACCGCTCCAAACTGAGTGTATGGAACCACTCTTCGAGCCTAGCACGACCACAAGGACTGTGCACCCCGTCCCCTCCAGCAACGACCAACTATCTCCTAGAGCCAGTATGAACGAGGTAGTGGGTAACAGACAGGTAGGCACCTTGTCAACATGCACATCAAGCGCAGCCGCACCGGGGATGTCAAACAACAGCCAATAACTTGAAATGACAGTAACAAATAAAATATATCCGTTAAAGAATACGGCTATGCAGACATAACACTTCCCTAAATTAGCATACGAAGTATGTGGTTAGCAAGAAATCCGCGATAAGTAAAAAATGTCCAGAAGTGACTCAGAAAATGCTAGAAACCCAATAAAGTTAACGAAGATAAGCACAATTACTGTAAGCAACGTGGAAAGTTAAGAAGATTATTCCGGTATGCAGAGGAAATCAAATAAATTGGAATGAAATTTATCTACTTAAAAAGATCTAGTTTAATTGTAAGTTGGTTTAGACCAACTGCGGTGAAGAACCATCATGAATGCAATATCAGCCTCAGCATGGGGCATATATATATATATATATATATATATATATATATATATATATATATATATATATGATTTGGCGGCGTCCGTATCCGGATTTGCCTCATGGGGACAGTCACAGGAC